CAGACTTGAGTTGTAACATTACCCTGGCACCAGAGACCTTTAAATACATTTCAAAAAACAATTTACCACGTGGTGTAAAGTGAGACGTCTCCAGCCTTCCAACTGCCCGGAGCTGGTTAGAAAGTTTTAGCCAAGTGCCTCCATAAGACTCTAGCAGTGGATGTTCATTACAACCCTCAAACCCATTTTTCTGGTTTTTCATATGACATTTTGTGCTTGTGAGACATCAGCTTTGTGAAGAATATTTCACTTGGATATTTTTTTTGCACACAGACTAATATGTGGCTTTCTGTTGTTATGTCTTAAAGGAAAATTTGCTTTGAATGGGGAACGTAATTTGCATGCTACCCAAGTTCAGGCAGGATCTTACACAAGCCTGGAGACGGGGAACGCACCTGCCTCTCTTCCTCGACCTGTAGACTCATTCATCAGCACCTGTGTGTTTTTATGGTTTGTCTATTTAAAAATAAAGAGCACATCCCAGCTGACAGGTTGTACATATTTTTTTAAGGTCAGCCTAATAAAGATAAAGGCAGTAGTCAGCAATACCATAAAAGATACCATTTAGGTTCCCCCAAAAAAACTTCCGTGAATAGTTCTTAAAATAACCATTTTTTTATTAGTGTGAAGAATATTTTAATAATCTAAAGAACCTTTTTCAACTATAAAGAACCATTTTACACTTTTTAAAGAACTTGTAAAGGTTTTTTATGGAGCCATAGATGCCAATAAAGAACCTTTATTTTTAAGAGTGTAAGTGGGTAATCTGTACTACCTACAGAAAATGCGTTACTCTACAGATACAATATGACTTCCTGTTGTACCCTGGCTGGTAGATGCAAAAATGGTTAACCGCTTGGGGTTTTCCAAAAACATTGTGGGTACAGAGTTTCTGAAGAGGCGTGTTGTTCCATGTAATGCTTACCTCACTTCCTCAGTTTCCTCTGTGAAAGATAGAAATCACATATTTAAAAATCCAAAGAGTTTATTACTTATTGTTGTTTTTTGAGGAAAGGGTGTAGACCTGTGGATTGGCGTAGGGTCATTTTATAACCAATTGTGAAAGAGACTTCACTAGATGTTATTCACGTACAGCATTGTAGAAGCCATGAGGTTTTACTTCACTATAATAATACATAATACAGTCCAGAGCTCCACACCCTTTGTAGTCTTAACCAGCATGGAAACGTGTTTTTCAGCCGACTTGGTGATTTTGCTTTTTACCCAGCTGATGTGCAATGTATTGTGCTAGAAAACCTCTAGTCAGACCTGTTTGTGCTAAAGTCTGAATGTGTGAAATTATTTTTACCTCAAGGACAACAGACTAAACATTAAGGCCTGACAGGAAGCCAGTTAGGGTTTACCACATCCACCGTCAACTCATTTTGACAGGATTCGATGCAGACAGACAAGCATAACCTGTCCTGTCTTAACCTTCCGTCAGCTGAGATCTTATAGTGAATTTCTGTGTAGTTCACTTTAATGTTTGATGCTATCATTGGCTTCTATGATTCACAAGTGCAGCTGACTGATTTTGAGTTTTGTGCCAGATGTCCTGTAGAGTAACTGTGGACAGGAACAGGTGCCGAAATTGTGCTAGTGTCTCAAAGATCAAACAAATGACTTGTTCTGTTTGCTAAACTGCTATAAATCATCTAAGTTCCTTAAAAAGTTAACATGTACGATTTTAAATGAATATGTAGCCACGCTACTAAAGCTAGTGTCAATAAAACTTAGGATTTAGGGCAGGGATGCCCTGTACTGTTCCTGGAGGTCTACTGTCCTGTAGAGTTAAGTTCTAACTTGGCACTCCGGGTTTAGGGTGTGTTCATATCCTTTACATATTTCTTTTTACATATCCTTCTATCTTCTTTCATCCTAGGGCTGCACGATTATGACAAAAATCATAATGGTCGATTATTCCCTTGAAAATTGTAATTGCGATTATTAATTACGATGATCACAATTTACATTGAATGATGTTTATACCATTGTTTGATGCAACTGCATGCCGTATTTTTTATATAAAAATAAACAAGCTGAAAACACTCTAACTGAAAAACCTTTAGTGCTTTTCTATAGTATTAAGCCTCAAATGTCAAATATACATCGGATTGGTTTCTTCTTTAAATTATAAAAAAGTACAAATATGAATGGTATTATAATGTTATACTAAAACTAAAACAATGGAAAAACCCTTAAGATAACATGTAGAAAGAAAAAAAAACATTTCATAAGCATGCAGAATAACATAAGTGGACTTTGAACGATTAATTGTCGCTTTGAACGATTACATAATTGTGGCATCAATAATTGTAATCCCAATTAGAAATTCGATTAATTGTGCAGCCCTAGTTCATCCCACATTGCAGTGTTACACATTTATATGTATTCAGGTATTTATTAATATTTTGAATTAGCTTTTTTCAAATATATTTTCAGTTTTCTTTTTTTATTTTACTAACTTGTTATATGCTTTAGTCATTGTGTATATATATATATATATATTAGTGCTGTCAAACGATTAATCGCATCCAAAATAAAAGTTTTAGTTTATATAATATATGTGTGTATACTGTGTATATTTATTATGTATATATATAAATACACACACATACAGTATATATTTTGAAAATATTTCCATGTATATATTTATATTCATATAATTGATATTATATGTAAATATTTAAAATGTATAAATGCAACATATTTTTCTTAAATATATACATGCATGTGTGTGTGTGTGTATTTATATATACATAATAAATATACACATTACACACACATATATTATGTAAACAAAACTTTTATTTTGGATGCGATCGATTAATCGCAATTAATCGTTTTACTAACCAAGGTAGTCTTATTTTTCATCTAATATTTTTATTTTTATTTCAGCTTTATTTCAGTTAACAATTTTTAAAAAAGTTTTATTAGTTTTAGTTAATCATAACAGCACTGTTTGTGCTATGGACACACAGTAAATCATGCATCAAATTATGTGGCTTGTTGTTTTTACTTTTTAAATGAGCAGACTAATACAATTTACGTCCCATAGACTTAAGTCAGTAAGCAACCACCCGCAATACTCTAGCAACCAATAGAATTCACTGGAAACCACATGGAAACACTCACATGCAAAATTGGTTGAGCGATGGACAAGAAATAATCACATTTTCAGACAGTTTCCAGATTATTAAAGGGTTTACCCAAAAATGAAACTCATCATTAAGTTACTCCCTCTCATGTTGCTTTCTTCCGCAGAGCATAAAGGAAGGTATTAAAAAAAGTCAATGAAAGTAAATTAACCCTAATGTTCTTCAAAATATCTTATTTTGTATTCCACAGAGGAAAAGAAAGTCATACACTCTTTAAAATAACAGTTATTTATTGGCACTGATGGTTCCATGAAGAACCTGTAACATCCATAGAGCCACTTAAGGTTCTTTATAGTGGAAAAAGTTTCTTTAGATCATTAAAATGTACATTACAATAAGAAAATATGGCTCTTTTAAGAAGTTTCTGCTGAAAGGCTTACTGGGAAACTCGAAATGTTTTTTTTATGTTATCACTCCCCTTTAGGAACCTTATTTTAAAGAGCGTAAGTTTGAAACAACATGAGGTTGAGTAAATTATTTTTTTGATAAACTATCTTGAAAATTGTAGCATGCACATAGACCACTGCTGGTTCACCGGTGTTAAACACAACCCAGGTTGGTAGAACGTCTTCAGAATTCCTCTGTGACCCTACACGCTGAGCCTTGGAGACCAAGGTGCTGGAACCGAGGAGCGTTGCCAGCCAACATTACACAATCCTGCAATCCGAGCCCCCCTTCGGTTGCATGCCTGCACTGCTGTGTGTCAAGTTCGCAGAACCCTAGGAGGCAAATGGAGGCATTGGCCAGGACTGCGCTGTTCCCTGAAGACAACATCTTACTGGGGGAGGGAGATAGACAGAGTAGAGGAGGTTCACTCAAAGGGAACCGAAGACAAAGTGGCTGGGTGCCAGCTCCCAATTGATGTTCGTCCTTTTTTAAAAGTGGCCCCTGCACTGCCAAAGACTCAAGGAAAAAGAAACGGCCATTAAAACCCACCCACTGGAAGCTGCGCCGCTCAAACTCCGTAACTAGTGCTTTTTGCTGCTATTTGTAGAAGATTTTGTGTTGTTGTGTTATGTTTACCATTAGCTTTTTCTTCAACATTACGTTAGCGGTGCACGCCATGCTTTCTCGCTCTCTCCATGTGCTGACAAAGATGCTAGAATTGATTTAGCTAGTCAGTGTCAGGCCTGTAATTGCTGTGCACCAGTGGGAATGAGTCTAAAGATAAGCACTCTTTCTATGTATTGATCTATACTGCCTGCTGCTGCATTGCATCTAAGGCACTGCAGCCTAATGGAAAAAAACAGCCTGCCACTTACCGGAGTCATCAACTTCATACGTCTCAAGTCAGATGCTTGGAAAAGGTTCAAATGAACGAGGGCATCAGTAGATCTAAAATTGGCCTGAATTTAACTTTGGATGATAAGATGATAAAGCTCAGTGTTATCAGAGATTTTCTCATTGAAAACTATTAATATTTGTTATAAATGGAGAGGTTTTGTTTCTTAGGGTCTAATCGTACATGCAGTGATCCTCAGAGGAAGGTTTTAATATTGCTCCTTTATATCTCAGGAGATATAATAAAAAAAGTTTTCTGTATCAACTTTGTCTCAAAAAAAATTCTTAAAATTCTATAGAAAAATAGAAGTAGACACAAACAAGTCAATAGTTGGCATGCAGTAAGACTGCAGAGCTATAAAATAAAAATTAGTTCATATTTGGTGTGGACGATATGGCAAAAATATATCACAATTTTTTCCATTTAATGTAATGGCTTTCTAGATCTCACGGGATTTTTCCTTCCTATGGACTGTATCTACTATGATCACACTTATTTTTTCTGTTTTTAAGATTTAGCACCTTGTAAATTAATTTCACCATTGAGTAGACTAGGTTCAGTCAAATTTTCCATAAAAAAAGACTATCAAATTGCAGGTAATGATCAAAAGCAAGAGATATCAAACAGATCTCATTTAAAAAAAAAAATCAATTTTCACAGCTTTACTTCCAGCATATTTTTCAGAAGATCTCTGGCTTATTGGGCTTTAATGTTCAATGAATGTTTGAACTAAAAAGTGTCTCTTTCTCAATAGCACTGGACTGTATTCACAGAGGTGACTGAAGTCTTTATCCTGGTGCCTGCTCTCCTGGGCCTGAAGGGGAACTTGGAGATGACCCTCGCGTCTAGACTGTCTACCGCGGTAAGTCCTTTAGTATCAAATTTACCACATGAGCTTTCCAATAGGAATGATTCAGTAATTTTTTTGAGGAAAAATAGCTTGTGTATTCTCTAGGTCAGCACAAGATGCAGATAAAAACATTGAGAAAAATGGGACCTTTAAATAAAATCAAGACTTTGAAAGGAATGCTGGGGGGAAAAACTATGTACGCAAGCATATTTATTGACTCAAATCACTGAGATTTTAAAATCTGAATCAGTCTGAATCATTATCTGAATTTCATGACGCAATTTCACTTGCATTGTATTCTTTCTTTTGTCTGGATGGTGACTAGTATATTTACTTTGTGCAACTTTCAGAGGTGTCTTTGAGTTTTATGTAACTTCAGCTTGAAAGTTACTTCCTGCTGTCAGAATTAATGCATTAATATTCTCCTTTAAAGGAAAATATTGGTATACCAGGGGTTAGAGTATTTTAATAATGAACCATCAGTGTTTTGTGTATGAAACGTGTGCTATTACATTTAATTCAAGCAATACAATTTTTAGCTAATAATAAAGCTGTCTTTCTCTTTCAACTTGCCTGCATAAACACTAGCAATGCCCTGGCAATGACCAATGTTATATTACTGTTCAAAAGTTTGGAGTCGGTCAGAATATTATTGTTTATATATTTTTTTTTTCAGCAAGGATGCATTAAATTGATCAAAAGTGACAGCAAAGACACTTATCGTTTTACAAAATTATTAAATGCTGAACTTTCTATTCATCAAAAAATCCTGAAAATGTCAGACTTTCCACAAAAAAAGAATCATGTGACACTAAAGATTGGAGTAATGATGCTGAAAAGTCAGCTTTGCATCACAGAAATAAATTACATTTATTAAGTAGAAAACAGTCATTTTAAATTGAAATAATATTTCACAAACATTACTGTTTTTACTGCATTTTTTATAAATGCAGCCGTGGTGAGAGGAAGAGACTTTAAAAAACATTGAACATTCTTCAGAATATGTTAAAAGTAAGTTTGTTTGCTCGTTTTCATTAGTTTTTAACTGTATCTCTGTACTCACCAATGTGAAAATTAAACATTTTCACAATGCTTCATTGTCCTTCGCTGCAGTATGTTAAAAGTAGGGTAATAACTTGGGTAGTCTGCCCTGTTCTCTGAAAGCTTAATAAAACATCATGTAGGACACTATGGTCAAATTAACATCATTTTAATCCTGTTAAGCACATGACCGTGCACTTCCCCTAGTTTCGCTCAGTACTCCTACACTCCGTGTGTCTCGGCTAGATGTGGATGTGCCAGGTTTGTGGCAAAGCCAGACATTCTTCTGGCCTGTGGTTCTCTGAGCTCCCACCACAAGATTACATATTTAATCATAACACATCCTTAAGCAGCCCACGTTAGTTGGTTAAATCTGGGAGCAATGCTGTCAGATGCCATTGTTTTTCATTATTTTTGAGAGCGATGATTTAAAGTAACTATAATTAGTCATCCCAAAGTTTAATTTTGTCATCATTTGCATCATTGCCTTTTCATGTCATTTTGGCCCTGTATACTTGTTTTAAGAAAATAATGTGGTGTAGGAACAACATGAGAGTAAGTCAATGATGTGAACTTTTGTTTGTTTTTAGGTGAACTGTACCTTTAAACTGTTGCTAATTACATACCTTGTTAAACACTACATTAGGTGCAAACCCACACTCAGGGAAAGTTCATCTACCTTTTGCTGGAATCCAGTGATTCACAAGTAATCAGGTGAGCAGAAAGTGTCAAGCCTGCGGTCTTGAGGTCGTCTGTGTGCTGTAAATCTACACTAAGTGCTCAGTTTCTCCTAGCCGCTGCTGATTATCAGCAGATTAAGAACACTGTCGGTTTCTAATGCTCTTACTTCAAAAAACAGAATGAATTCCTTTCGTAGTGTGAATTGGACCCACATTTTTCATTTCTTGCCTTTGAAAATGATTCCTCTTGTTCATAGTTGGTGTAGATTTTTGCTCGTCTCATCGTGGGTGTTTTTGGAGTATTACAAACTTGACCCATTTGAATAGCCCATCAAATGGTTTGACTAATTTTCAGTCCTGTGTCAATGTTTTTTGCAACAGAAACTTGGCGTAGGACGTATCAAAGGGCTTGTACTTAAAAAAAAAAAAAAAAAGTTTTAAAAGGGTTTACCTTTTTTTAAGATAGCTATGATTTGCTACTCTGTGGCAAGTGACATTCCTAGTGAGCATTTTATTGGACAAAGCTTAAGAGACTGTATAATGTCATCAATATTTTTGGCCCATTTTACTTAGAGAAACACTGTATAATTTAAATGTGTATATTTTCTCAATTTTATTTCGTCAACATGGCCACAAACAGGCCATGAATTGTTTTTTTTTTTGTGTGTGTGTGTTTTTTCGGGCTTGTACTTAAAAAAAAAAAAAAAAGCTTTCAAAGGGTTTACCCTTTTTTAAGATAGCTATGATTTGCTACTCTGTGGCAAGTGACATTCCTAGTGAGCATTTTATTGGACAAAGCTTAAGAGACTGTATAATGTCATCAATATTTTTGGCCCATTTTACTTAGAGAAACACTGTATAATTTAAATGTGTATATTTTCTCAATTTTATTTCGTCAACATGGCCACAAACAGGCCATGAATTGTTTTTTTTTTTGTGTGTGTGTGTTTTTTCAGAAAGAATGCATTAAATTGATCAAAAGTGAC